TGTGGCTCTTCTCTGCCTCTTCCGGTGTAGCGTGTGAAGACTCTGCGCCGGGAGGATGTCTTGATGCCACACGCCGTGCGTAATGGCACGTGGTGTCAGCATGTCTTCGGGGAGGGGTTGGGGTGGCCAGTGTGCAGCCACCTCTCCCCTTCCCTGCCTCCAACATGCTGCAAAGGGCCCTTCTGCAGAGGCCCTTACTCTTATTTTTGATATAAGTAGTTCGTGATCTGTGCCACAATTGGCACCTGGTCTATATCTAATAAAATGTAAATGATATATAAATACTTGTTATACATATTGCATTGTTTAGCAAATGAACAAGATACAAGAGTGGAGAGAGAGTGAGGATCTGTGAAATGGCAGGAGGTGAGGCATTGCACCAGGCAGTATGCTTGGATTCCCATCATTTCACAGATCTGCAGTCTCTCTCCGGCCTCATTACTTGTTCATTCACTGTCTGTTTGCAGTTGGTTGAATCCATAGATACAGAGCCCATGGATATGGAGGGCCAACTGTATACATATATAATATATTAATATACATTCGAGCCAGTGTGGTATAGTGGTTTGAGCATTGGACTACAACTCTGGAGACTAGGGTTCAAAACCCCACTCAGCCATGGAAACCTACTGGGTGACCTTGGGCAAGTCACACTCTCTCAGCCTCAGAGGAAGGCAAGGGCAAACCCTCTCTGAACAAATCTTGCCAAGAAAATCCCACAATAGGTTCACTTTAGGAGTTCCATAAACTGGAAGCGACTTGACAGCATATAACAAAAATGTAAATTCAGTTCACCACTTCATTTTAAAAAGTTGCTTTTAAATATTTTAATTAAAAATGGTTAATGTGTCTGATTAATTTACATTTACACTGAAGGAGGTTTGGGCTGTTTACACCTAGATTTAGTTAATTCAGATTTTTAAAATCTGGAGAATGTCATACTCATACTAGTCTTCATCCATTGCACATGTCCTCTCTTTCTCACTCACGCACATATGAGATACTCAAACCTTAAAGATTATCCCCCCAACAAGAGAAGGAAGGAATCTTGTTTGCACTAAATCATAACATGCCCAGAGACGAGGGGCATAACATAGTGCCTAGTCATCCAGGGGCAAGAAATACAAGTGGGTCTATTAAATGCAGCCACTGCCACCATCTTGCTGGCAGCGCAAGGACTGGGGGCAGAGCAGATGACAGTAGGAGAACCCCATTGGCAATGCTCCGCTCAGGCCCCAGTCCTGTCTATATCCTTGTCATAAATTTAATGAAAGGAAAATCTTTTCTTTTCACTAGTGAAGTCATAGCCACAGAAGCCTGTAACACTCATACAAATATATTTCAGACAAAAATTGCAATGGGTAGAAAAGGGGTTGCATTTTTCAAGAAACAAACATTTGCATTTTCAATTCTGAGTAACCACCATAACCTGAAGATAGAAGCAATATTTTTAGGTGGGAAGTCTTCTGGAGTCCTGGAACAAGTGAACAACTATTGTGCGCTTTTGTTTGAAAAAAAAAAAAAAACCCAAGGAGGGCTCACCATAATTATACTAGAGAACATCTTCTTTAAATTATTACAGTGCTCATGCAAATAGGTTACATGTCTCCAAGTTGCAGAGCAGCATGCATATATACAGCATATATATATATATATATATAGCAACTAGAGCAAACCGTGGGCTACACTGATCATCACTGTCAAAGATATGTGACAGGCAAAATTGCAAGCAGCATTTCATCATGATGGCAACCCAAGGGAATTCTCAGCAACACACAAACAAGTGCCGCTTTTGTTTTTCAAATTATTTTTTCAAGCATCTTTGTGCTGTGTGGATAAGCTCCATCTATATTAAGCAAAGGATTAAAAAGGAAGGGAATATATTTCTTTCATTCAAGGAGATCAGTCCCTAGTTTGCCATGAAAATACTGCTGTAGAATCAGTGTTGGAACCATTTCTACCTGGAAAGGAAAAATAAAGATAGAAAAGGAAAAATAAATCAAATGACATCAAGAATAAATCATTTAGGGAAAATGAATCTCTGTTGGCAACTTTTCATTTCTAGCATAGATTCTCCCTGCTGTTGAGCAAGTCTTGAGGGGAAAATGTAGGTCTCCGGAAGCAAGCAGAGTGAGCTGCTTAGTGCTTTGTGATATATCTTGCTATTTCAGCTTGCAACAAATGTCTTAGTTTCTAGTTAAAATCAGTCCTTAAAACCTGATTAATCTCTTGGTGTAAAATTGTTTAAAACTGTTACTTATATAAATCAGTAATGGAATTTAAATAGAAATGTAACAGCCGAGAGAGTTTGGCCAAACAGCCAGGTGCACAAAAGAAGAACAACGTAGTATATAACACAATATATACATAAAGCAAAACAGAAAACTACTAACCTGGAATAAAATGTGCTATAATTTGTGATTTTCAAATTGAACAAACCAAGACAGCAGCCATTTCCCCCGGATCTCTGTACAGATGAGAAACTTGCAGAGTACGGCAGGAGATGTATTACCTCAATCTTCTTATCAGAGACGAAGGAATTACTGCCACTTTTACTGCCCTCCTTAGGACCTATATTTAGAACTTGTTTCCTTCCCCAATACTGAACTGGATGTGGTAATGAAAAAGAAGAAAAGAGTAAAGTAATTCAATCAGTGTATAACTAGGGCACATGAAAAACTGCACTCTGGAATGTATCCAATGTCTGAAAAGTTGATTCTGTAATATGGCAAATCACTGCCGATAAGAGATAAGAAATAGGAGAGGGCATGTGACAGAAAAGAGGAGGAGAAAAGGGAGTGGTTTGCGAATACAGGCATGTGCTTAAGGCAGGGAGGGAAAGCAAGAGAAAAGATGGGAGGAACTTGATCATTCCCAGGATGCAAAGGGATCTTGTATGCATCCCTTGCATACTGATATTCCAAACTAACACGGCTATATCTCTGAATTCTACCCTTTTGGTAATTCCCAGTTGCTATGAAATGGTAGAAAGGGAGGGATTGTTGGGAGTGACAGAGTAAACTTATTCCATGAGCTTTTCAAACAAAATGTTGACTTTCAGTACCTAGATAGTAAGCATGCAGACTTTTTAAAAGGCATCATTTTCATACAAGCCATCCCTTCTTGGGCACATTTACAAAAATCTGTTGAAATTCAGGTCCTTAATTACTGGTTGTGTATTATTTCATGTTGAACTTCAGCACATTTTGGCAGCTGGTGTAGTAATCCTTATGTTACTTTCAGTCAACTAGTAGCAAACTATAAACTTAAACCATAAGTCTCCCCAGCACTGTGTACCTGAAGCACTAGTCCAAAGACCTGAATAATTTACCTGGCTATTTTAAAGGAAGCCAAAACGTCCTGAAATTAGTACCCAAAGAGAACGTCAGAACAGTTGGTGGAACTCTAGTAAAATACACAATAGACCCTGAAAGTCTGAATTCTGCCATCTCTTTATTACAATGATGTTTGTCTTCTCCCTCTTTCCTCTCAGTCTGATACCCCTGCACCCTCTGCCTTTCTAACAAGTATTAAACTATTAAGTAAAGACAAGGTTGTTTTTTGGACAACACCTTTCAGAATTCCCCACCAAGGGCCATGTTGGCAAGAGGTTCTAAGAATAGAAATCTAAAAGGTTAAGGTGTAGAGGTCTTTTCTAAGCCCTGGAAATAACTACAGGGGCCCTTGGTATCTGCTGGGGTTTGGTTCCAATCCAGGACCACCTGTGGATACCAAAATCCATGGATGCTCAAGTCCCATTAAATACAATGGCATAGTAATATAGTGTCCCTTATATAAAATGGCAAAATCAAGGTTTACTTTTTGGAATTTATATTTTTTTGAATATTTTCAAGCCATTGATGTTTGAATCTGTAGATAAAGAATCAGTAGATAAAGAGGTCCAATTGTAGTCCTACTCTTTCCTCAGGTTCTCAGCATGTGCAACAATTTAGGAGAAGGAATCTCAGCCTATTCTGCATCCCATCTCCCTTCCACATACCTCACTGTGTGGAGCCAAGAACATAAGTGGTATGATTTAAGTTTTAAAATGTTGTCCTGTCTGGTAGAACTAATTGCTCTGCACTTTGGGGGATCATTTGTTTAAGTTAAAGTATAGGGGGTGGGGAGATGGAAATGGGATCAATCAAGATTGTGTTAATACCATGTAGGTCACATGTAACAGTGCAGGAAATGACTAACTTTAAACCATTCAATGCTTTTGACAAGTCAGATATAGGGCACTTTGTCCATATTATTTTTGTTTTGTTTTTAAAAGTTGTTGGGTTAGTTGTTGTTGTTGTTTTGCTGAATTCCAAATACACATCAACTTGTGGCCCAATTACCCTACCTTAATTTAATATTGCCATTTTTAATACACTCGTCCCTCACCATTCATGCTCGTGCCGTTCGCGTTCCTCGTTACTTTGAGGACAAGCCATGAGGGACAAAATGGTGCACGTGCCTGAGGTGTGCATACCGTGCCACAAGCAGAAGTGCGCCCTAATTGGAATTGGCTCCAATACTGGCGATTTTCCCAATTTCCAGGAGGGGGGAATCCGGAACGGATCCCCTACAAATTGGGAGGGTTGACTGTACATCAGTACAGCATGCTTGAATGATTGACATTCTAGAGTGAATTTTTTACCAGTCTTTGATGCGAGTCTGGAAAATGTGGTTTAGAAATTCAGCAAGCAATCATAAATGCAGCATATTAGGTACATGAATAAGAAATGAGATTGAATATTTTATTTCCCCTGGTACACACAACTCCAGAGATCTAGGCTTAGCTAGGCACTAAAAGCGTCACTTATGACATTTAACAAAACTTATTCTCCTACAGTACAGGGCATGTGTGGCTTACTGATCACGAAAGACTGTGCTTCATACTTGTGCACTGCCGTCCAGCTTAATGACTCTCCTTCTGACTATTACCTGTTTAATCTGACCACTCATCCGCTCTCCCCAAAGATACTGCAACAGAGCTTAGCCAGTGAGCTGCAACCCACGTCAAGTGTGATGAGTGGCATCTGAGTAATCCAAGTGCCACATACTGACGGGTCGGCCAGCATCGGACTCTATACCTATCCTATACATTCAAGGTCATACAGCATCCCATTGTGGAGATTCCAGAATGATGGCAGATCTGCCTTTTCAACACCATGGCACCTCAGTCATTCAAATCCAGTTCCCTTCCTGTACATGACAGATAGTCCTAAATATGTCATTACTAACAATGGGAGCTTATTACAGTAGTATTGCTGAGTCCACTTTCCAACAGGGTGCAAACTAATACCATTTAAACAATAAAGCACTATTAAAAAGACAAATATACTTCCATACATAGCCGTCAGAAAAAAAATTAAGACGGCGGTCCTCAAAATGTCTTGAAATCATTCTAGTAATACAGTCGGCCCTCCGTATCCACAGGTTTTTTTAATACGTGGATTCAAGCATCCATGGCTTGAAAATATTTGTAAAAATATAAATTCAAAAAAGCAAACCTTGATTTTGCAATTTTATACAAGAGACACCATTTTACTATGCCACTGTATTTAATGGGACTTGAGCATCCCCAGATTTTGGCATCCACAGGGGTCCTGGAACCAAACCCCAGCAGAT